ACCGGTTCTTGCGACCGACGTCCCGTGTCTGAGACCGCGGAAAAAAGAGTCTACAAGAGGAGGAGGAGGACTACGACGAGGGCGAGGAAAAGGTAATTATTGTCGGGGCGTTCCCCGACCAACGGATACAGAGACACTGCCGATCCTTAAGCAGGCAGCAGATATCCAGTCGAGTCTTAATTTCGTTAGACAACACGAGGCGAACTTGCTTGCTTCCCTAGACATGTGACCGATAGTGGATGGGTTCGCCATTGGATCGAATGACGAACGGAAGAGTGTAGGAGGAGTCGCCTTGGTTGGGTCAGATGAAAAACAATCCAAATTACTTTTCGCGTTCTTGAGTCCAACTCGACTTTTCGTACGCGACAAACGTACAAAAAATTTATACGAGCTATAGAGCTAAAATTTATATAATATATATATGTGTACGCTTCAACGGTAGATACCGTCGATATCGTTGATTTTTTTTTTTTAATCCCTCTTTCCTACAACTGTCGTGGTGATTTTGAATAATAATGAGATGTTGTATTATTGGCGTAAGGGACATTTTGCTGGTACAATTTTGGCTTCGATAGGCCTTTTAACGGTACGAAAGCCAGCTGGGGAAGGATAGAGGAGAAGCTCTCGTTGATTGAAATTAATTTCCTATTAGGGAATGCGATCGAAAAGTAGAATGTGTAATAATTCACAATCTAATCGGCAATATTATATCATTCTGCAGATATTTGGCCATTCGCGATAATAAAGATAAGTCAAATTATCAAAACCTGCGCTACCTTGTGTAAAAATTATTTCGAATTTCCTAATCAAAGACACGAGCACGTCCAAGTGCTCCAATAATTTAATCGATCATTATTATCCTATAATCACCAGGATTATTGATCATTCATTAACTCGCTACTGCAAATAACAACCAAGCTCTTGTGAAATATTCGAGTGTAAGGACATTGTTTAACGCGCGTGTAACCATATGCCGTTCATATGAAGTTGCGAAGAGTCATCTATTTGCGTCCATCAACAAGCCCCAGTGTTTTCTCTTATGTGGATGGGTGCGCGAGTCTTTTTAAATTAGCATGGATCATGGACGGTTCGTAATTTAACTTGTAAAGTACGTTGCGTAACGAGGCTGCGAGAATTTTGAGTAGCATAAAATTTAATGATTTTAGAAATGAAATTTAAGGAAATTTTCGTCTCGCGATTATTAAAAAGAAACGTACGTGAAATTAATGTGACGTAATAATTTTATTATATAAAAAATTATATACACTTATGATTATTATCAAGCGCGTTACAATGCAATTGCACATAAATTCAAGGGGCGTGAAAATGTTAATATTAACAATTGCTTTCTTGAACGTGAAAGCTTTAAAATAATAAGCATTTGATAAATAATTGGAGTGGAGTAGAAATGGGAATGAGATACGTTAAAAATGCACGACTTACAAGATAATAATACACGAGCAAACGAAGAAAGTGGCAAAAAGTAATAATCTCTCTCTTCTGAAACATGTGTAGAAAAAAAAAAAAAAAAACAAAAAAAAAAAAAGGTGTTTTCATGCGTGCGTAACGAAAACGAACGTATAATGTCAATAGCAAAATAAGAAAGTAAACGAGCGAAATTTGTTTTATCAGCTTTGCTCGGATTGCCGACTATTAACCTTAGAGACAATTAGGTAGCAAACGAGTTATGTGAAATGTATAAATATATATATATATATATATATATATATATATATATACATACATACATACGTACGTACACATATATGGCTGTATAGGATACAAATCTATTGCTACGAGTTGATAAAGTTTTCAAATAATTCAGTGTAAAGCAATCTAAGCAGCATGCAAAATATTATTAATACGTTTATAATGTTTGATAAAGCAATATGCTCGTTATTGAATGGAATCGTTGAGTTTGCGAGTGAAAAACGACGCGCAAAAAATTTGAAGCTTCGAGTCGATTCGCATATTATCGCCGCCCTCTCGTTTATCATTCACCAAATGACAGATTAACAAAAACGATGATAATGGGAATAGCATTTGGGATAGCATGCTATTACAGACAAAATAACATACATCAGTTTTCGAGAAAAGAAGTTTGGAGCGTTGAGACTTATCGGCAACCACTGTGCGGCAAACCTCGACAGACCTCGAGAAAAAATAAGCCGACACGGTTGTGGCTGTCTTGGGATATGGGGCCGTCGGGTAAGGAGGAGGAGGAGGAGGAGGAGGAGGAGGAGGGGGGGGGCGTATACGTAGAGGGAGCAGGTACTTGCGATGGTGGTGGAGGAGAAGGAGGTCGAGGGGAATATATAGTATACACAACGACGCGGGTTAACTAATTGCGGTGGGCCGTCGTGATCCGATTAATTCTTAATTAATCCTGCAAAAGGTAAGGCGCGAGCCAATGGACCGCAATCACGCGACAGGCCTCGCGAATTCCTGGCCTTTTTTAATCGGTAACGTTATTTCCCGTCATATGCGTAATGACGAGCTTCTCCTCCCCGGCAAGCATCTATGCGCGAGCGAGCAGGTGCACGCATTCGAATGCGCGTATGCACGCACGCGCCCGCACGCACTTGCTCCGGTTCAAGTAAATTACTCGCGGCCGCCAACCGCCGGACGATCGGAGCCAGTTGACTCTTTACGAATCCAAACACCTAACATACGTACATTCGGTGCTCGTCGGCTCTTTCTCCGGAAATTCCGACGAGAAAAATGAGACTCGATCGTTCCCCGGAAACGATTAGCATTCGTTCGTAAAGGGTCGTCGTTGTGCTCTAACGTGCTCACTGGCATGTGCGTGGTAACTTGGCCGTTGCCAATACTTAAGTGATAACGATGTTTTCTCTCTGCAGCGCTACATCTTCGATAATTTTGCCATTTTAATGAGAGATCTTCGTTCTTATCAATATGGAAGAAGGCGACAGAGAGGGGAAGAAAGTGTTGCAGCACGCACATTTGCAGTGGTGAAAATAAGATTTTGCCTACCATAGCAACTCAATGATATTTCGTAACGGTTTACATACGTTAGCGCATAGCCGAGTGGCTCGAGCAATGCCTCCCTCCCCCTATCCCGAAAGTCCACATAACCGAGTGTAATTAGCGAATTTTTAAATTCTCGTAAAACGGCAATAATGTCGGCGGATACTCGTAGCGTAATAGTAGTGGCGGCAACTCGTTTACCTGCACACTAACCACATCGTTAGGATGTAATACTCTTACTTTCGATAATTCTCGTCGGGCTCCAAGTTCTCCGCTTAAATCTCGATCGATGTCGGTTAAAGCGCCCCACCACTCCCGCGAATCTCCAAACCGATCGTCGTCATAATATGCGCGTTTCAACGGTACTCGATGCACTTTATGCGACATGCAGTAATACCGTGTGGATGTCGCGATGATGTCGTGACGATGGAGGGTGGAGGAGTTGGAGTAGGAGGAATTGGGGGAGTTTGTAGGTGGGTGGGTGGGTGGGGGGGGGAGACGATGAAGAGTAGGATGAAGAGGAGGAGAGCGAGGAGCGTTGGGCGCCCAGCGTAATAGGCAAACTCGTCGTCGGTACGCTTTATGCGATATCGGCAGTCCGCGAATGCAACGGGTGACGAGGAAAAAGCAGGTGCGTACGCGCGGCGGGAAAATGCCCGATCCACGACTAACTTTGAAAAGACACGTCGGGGCCGATCTCGCATACCTGACAAGACGTGGAGGACCGTTAAACGCCAGCAGGCAGCAACCGACGGGGAATGAATCGGCGTCTGGCTGCGATATTCCGCGCGCGACCTTCGGCGTGGCGAAAAGCCACTTCTTGGCTCGTTTGTCTCCCTCTCCCTCTCCTACTTCTTCCTTTCTCGGTTGTCCCGGAACACGAGAAGGCGGGCCCCTTGACATTACTGTGTGCGCGCATGTGTATACGCGTATGCACAAGATAGCAGAGAGAGAGATAGATAGAGAGAGAGAGAGAGAGAGAGAGAGAGAGAGTGAGTGAGAGTTAGAGGGGGGTGCAGGGCGGGAAGTAGGAAGAATGAGAAAGGACGAAAAGAGCAGAAAAATCTACGAAATTGCGCGCGAGCGCTCGCACGCACGCAATAGACTTACGTCGCTATCGTCTTCGTCGTCGCAGTCGCAGTTTATTCACTTGCTGGATTCCCTTGGTACGTCGCCTTAGGCCCGATGCTCCTTCAGACCCGGATCGTCAGCGGCACCTGACCGATCGCCGCCTCGCGTACCTGCCTACGCGCCTGTGTGCGTGCACACGCGTATGCCACCCGCGGCCCTTCAACGCCCCTTACTATCTTATTGTAACCGAACGTCGCGGTTGCACTCCCGACCTCGCCACAACGACACGGTACGACTCTCGGTACCAACGGGCCCGGACACGTGGATCAGCGATGGCAAAAGCGTCGACGCCGTCGGCGAAAGCGAGTCTGGCGCGCGTCAACCACGGCACCGGTGACCTTAGCACGACAAACTCGAACCGAGCGCCGCGCGAGCGAAGCTACGACTGACTGGCCGTGCCGCCGACGCCGTTACCGCCACCACCGCGCTGTCGTAGATGACGACTACGGCTACGACGATGACGAGGTGGTGGAGGACGAGGAAGTAGCGGTGGAGGAGGAGAGGAGGATGAGGTCGAGAAGCGTGGCGAAGAAGAAGAAGAAGAAGAAGAAGAAGAAGTGGTGGAATGGCTAGGGGGGCGGGGAGGGGAGGGGGATGGGCGACGGGACGGGACGATGAAGTGGCGGGTTGGGTGAGGTGGGGAACGAGGGAGGAAGTTTACGGACCGCTGCTGCTGGCATAGTGAGTGAGTGCGGCGTAAGAGCGAAAGGCGGCGGCCGTTGTCGATTTGGAATTTCGTGGGAGGTTGGGAGTGCGACCGCGCGGGGGCGCAAGGCGCGCAAGGACCAGCGCCAATGCTTCGAAAATTCGAAGAATCGTTGGCGGCTTCGAGGGACGGGACGCAACGGCTGGGATGATATTATAAAACGCACGGATCTCTGTCCTTAAAATTACAATTTAATTCGGCTTCTTAATTAATAAGACTATACATAATAGAGTTTGGCGAGTCTGATGATAGGGGGCATTTATGATTTTCCATTCTCGGGAAGCATATCGTCTTGCCTCAGTTCGTAGATCTGAAAAATCGAAGCGCCAGTCGTAAGTACAATAATCAATGTCTCCAAATTACCTTTCTCACGTCCTATCATGTTATTTAAAGCGTAAATTCAACGTACTTGGATGTAGGCCTCCGTGAGCGTGATCATTTGAGGTAGGATTTGCGTGACGTGGAGGTCTTGTAATTCGTACCATTGGCCCGTAGCTTTGTGGAGAATGTGAACTCTGTATGTGCCGTGACTGGGTTCGCCGTCGTGAACGATATTTGCAACGAGATCGTAAGTCGTGCAAGGATGAGTGCTCTTCACCTCGGGCGTTAATATGTCTCCGAAATCAACATTTCTGGAAAAAGACATCGTTATAATGGTTCGATAGTTTGCTAAGCGTTGAAGATAATGATATTGGAGCTTACTTAACGGGAAAGTTGACTATCGTTGGATTTTTCTCGACGAAAAACGTATTCTTCGTAAATCGCTGCGAAGCAAAAGTAACATTAGCAAATAATGGGGATGATTGACGGGACGGCGGGTAGGGAGGGGGGGATAGAGCGAGATTGTGTTTACCTTGATGTAAAGAATTAAAAACGGTGGCAATTCCCGGATTTCGAAACGCTTCATGAAATTCTCCTTGTAAGTTTTATATTCCTTTTCCGCTACCGCATTAAATTTATTTAGTAGAGTGTACAAATTAACCTACATTTGTAGTAAGAAAATTTCATTGGTCGTAAGCTTCTTCATCATCGGAGAATAATATTAGTATCGATGATTTATATTACCTGTGGAATGATGTTCTCTGTGAATTGATCTTTAAACAGTGGGGGTGGTGGTAAATCGCAAGTTAAATAGAGGAATGGGCTTTCGGTCACCGTTTCACCATATTCTACTGTATTTAAAAGTTCGCTTCTTTGACTCTCTTCCAACTCGAGAGGTGGAATTTTGCGCGTATAGATTCTCATGTGTCCCAAAAATGTCTTGTAAATTATGCTTGAATCTCTTTTCTTTGTTCCATTTAGCGCTAAATGAAGCGCATTTAAAAACCACGAGAGAAAATCAACGGGGTCACCTAGAATGTAGTTATGCCGTTTATTTATCTCTTAGGTAGCGAGCGTATGGTCGCTTTATATTTATAAATCACACTTTGGACGCTATGACCAGTTATTAAAGGAGCTAGCAGCGACACGCTATTAGCAAAGTCAAGATTAATGTCTGAATACCTTGTTCGGTGAACTGAAATTTCTTTTTACTCCATAGAACTACAGCCTGTAACATTTCATGAGGACTTACGTGTGCCTTAAAATTACGTGGATTCCATAATTTCCTCATTAACTCACCGAATCTTTGCACAAGAAGATACGACGAGTCACCGGGTGGCCTTTTTATTTTTGAATAATTTGATTCTCTTAAGAAGTAGTTGCGTAATGGAGTTACGTGCGACAGTCCCTACGATATATCAACTATTAAAGTTACTGGCTAAGAATATTTTATTATTAATGTAAAATATAGATGTAATGCTTACTTGCAAAATGACGTTACAGTAATCGTTAGCTTTTATATTGTTCATACCAACGATCCCTGGAGAGTACATAGAGCCATCTATGGCTCTAGAAAGCTTGTCATTGTTATCCAACTGAACGATTTGAATTTTATCAAACGTTGGATTAAGCACATATTTTATATCATCTAACGACGAGTCTGTAATTAAATCGCTAATAAAAGACACTGCTTTACGCCGATTGCACCACGATCGCAAATAATATAATTGCCTTACCTATAATTTGATAGTTATCCGGTAAACAATAAAACTGAAGGGTATGAAGATTTAAAAATACATGGTGACTTTCAGCCACACTATGAGTATAGGCATGTGTATTGGTACCTCTTCCTTGAAAATATTTACCACAAACCAGACACGCGTACACATTGATTCTTGACAATGAAACTGAACAAAGCTTTTCAAAGTCAAAATCGAGAAATTGCCTATTTATTGTATCGAGATAGGGACACAGTCTTGGAGGACCTGATTTCAGTTCCTTATTATAAGCTAAGAAAAGAAATTTCAATTATTATTAAAATTTTTAAAAAAAATTACAATTATGCCCATAACCTATAAAGCCCTTATTATTTGCAGTAATATCCAAATAGGCTTTTATAAATAAAATTTATAAATAAATAATGAAACACTGTAGTAGGTGAAACGATATCTTACATTCATCTTCCTCGTTCATATCAATCTCTACATATTTCCTTTTCAAATTATTTTGTACTTTGGGTGCCGCCATCGTCGTAAACGCATCGACAAACTCTTGTATCCAATGCGGAATGTATCCGGCAGTGGATTTTTTATATTTTTACTCCGACTGCTATTATGAAATAAAATTCAATTGAACGAGATGTAAAAAATCAGAGAAATGAAAATGATTTATAACTTTAACTTCTTACAAATTATAAATAATTTGTACATTCTACAAAACGAATTAGTGAACGAAAACGAATTAAAATTGCATAAGGATAAAGCATGTTCAATCTAAATTTTATAACGCAATATTCTCTCAAATACTTCATAAAAGCAAATTAAACGAAACAATGAATTCTTTCACCGACTGTTTGTAAATTATCTACCATATTAAAAGTGATGCGTGCGTGGGCGTCTTCAATGGCAGCACTAACTATGACGGTCATTACCGTATAATGTCTAATTTGACCGTAACATTACCGAGCGAAAATCAAGCGAACGCGATAATGATGGATGAGAGAAAGAGAGAAGGAGAAAGACATTTAACCAAAAATTAGAGGCCGGAGACGCAAGAATAAGAGAAAAAGACAGATTTATTTCAGTTCTTACGCACGTAACGCCGAGCCCATTTTCCCCATAAAGATCGCTAGGGAGGATCCTATGACGGAGTAAATAATATTCTCACTACGATGCAACTTGGTATGCCTTGATCCTGATTTTTGCGGTCCTTGCAAATGCGTTTTCAGAGCAACAGTTGCAAGTTCATACCGCACGTTGTAAGTACATATAACATACCACATTAATTCCGAGAAATTTTCATGATATGCAAGCATGGATAACTTAAACACTCCTTTTGTTTCCTGGTAGACGATTAGTTCAGATTCTCTGCTGATTCTCCAGTGAAATGTCTCTATTTCTGAAAAGGTATTAGAGCTTCGAAGCTCTTTGTGCACTAGCAGAGGTGATTCTTTACTAATGTAAGTGTAAGTTAGCAAGGTAAATAATTATTTCTGTTTAAAGTTACTACACACTATTCTTAAAAAATTACTTGTTAAAAGCAAATTTGTTCAAATAGTCTTGGTCTTTTCTATAATATTCTATATGTCAAATTAACTTAAAATAAACATAAATATTATCTTTTTTATAAAAATTCATTTTCCTTGCGATATAATAAATAATCTAATCAACAATATTCTATTTTATAAGCTTTAATTCAAATTTGCTTATGACAAAACCATACAGTACTAGATAATAGATAGTGATGATATTATCAAAATTTATAATAAACTATTGTATTTTTACAGGCATGTGTTCACGAAGCACTCTTATAAATATATTTTATATATATATTACAAACTAGAAGAAATGTTGCATTATTATTGTATATCTATCCAAAGCTATTGAAGAAAAATTTGTCGTTTATTTTTAAATTGCTAAATATATTTTAGTCAATATGTCAGTTGTCGAAGAGATTGATTATTTGTGCAGATTATGTGCCACGAAAATGGGTATTCTAATGGGTTTACCCATTTTTGAAGCTAATGAACAAATGAGAAATATCGACAAAAAAATTTCAGCTTGTCTACCTGTCCAGGTAAATCGAATAACAATTACCTTTAACGCTACTGCTGCAACTACTTAACGAGATTATCAAAAATTTTTTTTTTTTTTATAGATTTCCATGACTGACCAGTTACCTAAAATAATATGCGAAGAATGTGCTTTTAAACTAGATGAATTTTTTGATTTTCGTGAGAAAGTCTTACAAACGGAAGGGATTTTCATACAAATGCTAAAATCCATCAGTAAACAAGAAGTAAATTCATTAGATAATGTTACGATTAATGAAATTCAAGGAAATATGGATAGACTAACCGATACCATTAATGAAATTCAAAATTCAAATGTTACGAGGCATAATGTTCAGAATGGTATTCATGCTATATCTGTGATAGATAACATGGGTCTTTCTGAAAGAGAAAGAGTCGTAACGCAAGAAGAAATGTCTAGAGAAGAAACTGATATACAAGTCACGGGTTTCCACTTGGATGGAGATACCGTAAGAATGGTTGATGAGCAAATGAGAGAGGTAAGAATAGCTACTACGTTCGTCTTTATTTACAACATGTGGATATTAACTAATCGAAATAAAAAATCTATTATGAATTTACAATTCGTATTATCAAAGCTTAACATTGATTAAGTATAATAATATTTATCGAAATGGAGTAGTCAGTGGTCGAGCAAAACATGACTATTGCACCGTTGGTATACATTTTTTATAAGAATATAATAAATTTAAAATTAAAATGCTTGTTCAAGTAATATTAATATGATTCACACGTCTGTCACGTGGTAAAAATGGATACAAAATATTTACAAAATTAATCTTTGCTGTGAATAGTCTCGCTCCTTAATAAACACCTTTATATCATTTAGCTGTATGCTAATAAAAATGACGAAAATTCTGTACAATAGTTACATTGTAGTTGTAAAAATATGCTTTAAGATAAGTTTGTTGTATGCACTGTCTTAACCATTTTTAGAAAAATATTTTTAACCATTATAAATATGCATGAATTGTTATTTAAGTTTATTATTGATCTTTTTCGTAAAAAGTTATTATTGGATATATTCTAAAATTATAATGTAAATACAATAAAGTGTATATAGGAGAACTAAAAAGTAATAAAAGTATGTATTTGTTTTCATTGTTTTAAAATAGATTTTATTAAACTTCTTTAATTTAAAAAAAAAAATATATATATATATATATATATATACGTTTTCTTAAATTAATCGATTTTATGCTTAGCGCAAAGTTAATAATTTTTAATTGAATTAGTGTATAAGAATTCTAAATTAAAGCAATGGAAATCTTAGCTTAACGTAAGTACCATCATTATTACAAGGTATTATTAAAATATCCGAAACAATTTTTCAATCGAAAAATCAATAACTAATAATTATTTAAACAAAAACATATGCATAATGATGATTAAATTATCTTCATCCTTATAGCTTGCAATTTATGAAATTATTATGATCATTGTCATAAAGCGCAATTCTTCGTTTATTCTTCAGACGTAATTATGAAAATTAATTTGTTTGAACAATCAGTGTTTAAACAAAGCCTTTTAGATTTTTATAAAGCAGAATTGCAGCAAAAAAACTATGGCTTGCAGATATAGAATAGAGGTTATTAATTTAATTAACCAAATGAGTGTGACCGAGAAGAGAGTTCGAGCAAAAAATTCGGAATTGACTGCGTCAATAGGAGATGACGTTGGCTGGGCAACAAATGGGCGGCGTCCAGCTTAAGACAACTTAATTATAGGTTTGTAATTTATTTCTTCATCTCCTATTCAATCTATTGGCATTCGTTAAAAGATCGTGAAAAAAATCTCTAACCGAAAAGATTCGAATTCTTTCATTTATCCACAAATCAAGTAAAATGAATATGACGTAGTGTTTTAATAGTTAATCATGCAACAACTAACAATAAAAATTATTATAATTAACGTAAACTTATTGATATTAAATATAAATTTAGATGTTTTAGCATATAATATTAACAACGTTCAATACTAATAATGTTGTTTATGATAATTAATATGTATCGTTAATGAATAATTATTGACTCGGTAATAATTATTCCCTTTCCTTGTGCTTAAAAATAATGCGTTCGAAATGTATAAGGATAATTTTCACGATGTCCTGTAATTCTAATTCCCAATGATGGCTTATCCTTGCTCGCAAATTGCCAATGACGACAAATCTGGCCGCTCCAATCGAAGCCCGAGGCTCGTTGGAACGCTGAGGGAATGACTCGCAACACCACACAATGTGTGGACGACATCCACTTGATCTTTACTTATGCATTGTGCTTTTGAATGTTCTCAGGCTGACCGATGGCGCGGCGCCAGTTGGTCGGATATGGTCGCTTAGGCAGAACAGGAAGCCCGCTTATACCTGTTGTCCTTTGGCGGACATGTGCGACCAATGGGAATGACGCCGATCCTTCTCCTATCTCTCGACACTACAAAAGCCATTGCGATGCGCATGACAATGTGTCCTTTGTGCTATTTTCGTCCTAGCATCCATATATAAAGGCAATAAGATTAACGTTGAGCGTGAAACGTAACATTGTGATTTCGTAAATTACGAGAATTATTCGTTTCTTGACCAACTAAACATTCATTATTATTACTTTCGCGAAATTCTTTCGATACTTTAATTTTTTTAGTTGTATTTTTATAATATTTTTTTCTTTTTTTTTTTTTTATCAAATTTTTCAAACAAACACTCTTGTAGTAACGAAATTGCTTTTTATTAAATTATTTTACGGATAAATTACGATATTCAAGGAATTAAATAATTAAATAATTTAAAACATCTAAGTACAATGTAATTATGATTACAACAATAGACTTATGAATTTTGTAATTATTTTTTATGAATATCGAATGTTTGGACATTGTACTTAGCATATGTCAATTTAACAACATTTTGCGTATAATTTTAAATAATGTTATTTCTCATAATACCTTGTAACAACGATGGTAGAAAATACAAAGTTGGTAGTATTGACGATTCATTGATATACATTGCGTGAATACGTATAAATAAGAGCAAACCATATCGATTGGAATGTTAAATTTTGTATAAAACAAAGTCAATCTGTTATCTCCTTAAAAATTCTTTACCGAGATATCGTATAAGTATCGCGTTCGAAAGAAATGTGCTTTCCTCCTAGTAGTCCGAAGGTAGGAAAGAACGGAGTCCAATAAACAGTTGGGGCTCGTTCGTATGCATCGTTGATAAAAGACCTCATCGGTTAAATTGCGTGCTCAAGGTATCCAATCAGGAGATAGCGATGCACCTTGAGGGCGAGATGGCTGTGTCGGTGGAGAATCTGACGGTTGGGGCCCACCTGAGTCAGCTGGACATCAACTACGTAGCGTCAATGGCCTCGGATAGCCAGGGCCAAAAGCAGATCGTTCACTATTGCGACGAGGTGAAGTTCGAGTCGGTAACGCCTAAAGAGCTGGAGGGCAGCCTCGTCAACTGCGAGCCCACGGAGATAGCACGACGGCAAAGCTTCCCCTCGTCGAGGGTAGAGAGCGACATCGACGACGCTTGCGAGGAGCCTCTGAGCGTCGCCGAGGCGTCCGGGCATTCGTTCGCCCTGCCATCGACGAGTCACGTCGACGCTTCGGACAACAACGACGGCATCATGGTGCAATTCACGAAAAGCACGAAAAGTGCGCTTTTGCAGGGTGCACTTAACAATCCGACGATCGACGAGACAGAATCGAACTGGTAAGTCGACCGACCGGTAGCTTTTTTTTTTTTTTTTTTTTTTTTTTTTTACGCACAACCTATTGTTTGTCGTAGCAAGGAATTTACGCACTGGGAATTGAATTGGTAATGGAATATTTCTCCTAATAATATTTATGAGCGACATTTACGTGCTTCGTCGCAGGCAATAATTTTGAAACTTTCTCCTGCAATCATACTCTCCTCGTTTACTTTACTTTGGCTTTGTAAACAAAGAATAGTATCCTAATAAGATCAACAATCGTCCATGTTCGTTATACATAAAAGTAAACTAACCTTATATCGATATAGTTATAATGGTTATTATATCTGATGATCTGATGATCTGATGAATGATTTTTATAAACAGTCGTTGAGTTGTACATTTTCTTGTCCTTTGCATGTTTAGTCTTATGTTTTCAAAGTATTTTTCATTTCATAGTGAGCGAAAGAAGCGTTTGCCGTTTACTAAATATCTCGTGTTATTGAATAATCATTATCGCGTGACGAATTTTCATAGCATTTTAAAGAAATAAAAATAACGTGATTATTGTTATTAAAAAGGCTTTTAGAGGTTTACGTCGTCGGTTGTTAGAGGAGATTCTGACATTGAATTTTTTGAAAGTGAATATTTGAGTGGGTCAAACTTTATTCGACGTTGATAGATTTTAATTATAACTAAGCGAAGAAAGTTTATTTTAAAAATAAAAAAGCGGTGTTGCACGTTGCGTGATTGATTTTTGATAATTGACATTTCATATAAAACCTTAGATTAGCTTGCTGATAGGATTAAGTTAACAAATTGTTGACAATATATCTCTTACTTTTTCATGAAATTTCTTTGAAATTTTACTTCACTCTCTCTCTCTCTCTCTCTCTCTCTCTCTCTCTCTCCTCCCAAGATAAATTTTCCATATAAATATAAATTATAAACATTTAATGCTTATATCGAATGTTGCGCACAATAAATTAATAACACATTTTACTTATTCCAAAACTTCCTAAGCAACAAAAAAAAAAAAAAAAAAAAAAAAAAAAAAACAACAACAACAACAACAAAAGAAAATGAAAAGCTAATACCTTTTTAAAATAATTAGCTCTTAAATATATCTTAGGTACATTTGTCCATTCTGCAACGAAGCCGCCGCCGAGCCAAACAGTCTCGCCGTACATTTCGAGCAACATTTCTGCAGTTGCTCCAATTGCGAATTATTCTTCACTAGTATCGATGTGCTGAATCTGCATAGCCAGGATTGCCTCGAGGAGAAAAATAAGAGCGATGGTGTGAAAAATTACGACGAGTTGACAGAGGAGCAACGGCAACGGACGCCGGTATCCGACAAGAAGCAACAAAACTCACGACCCAAATGGTCGCCCAAGGTTTGCACCCATTGCGGCAAACAGTATCGAACCAACTACAAATTACAGGTACTCGACAAATTTAGTCTTCCAACCCGTCACTATCCAAGACAGCATTGGCCACATCGTACCTTGCTTGCCTCGTCCTTTTCTCTTTCTTACGGTATCGGCCAATTATTACGAATATGCTAACAATTCCAAACGGCAAATCGCATTTCGCCCGTCAAATTTCAATAATATATTTGAGCCTCCCTTATGCGCCTCCCATTTCTAGCCATTAAATGGATAATCAATCTCCCTTAGCATTGTCCCTCGCGACCTCACATTCGAACGTAATTAATGAAGCGAGCGAGCAAGCAAAAATCTACCCAAGTACAATAAAATTAATCGCCTAATCTCTCGATTAGCTCCCGACTCCCCCGCCCTCTCACCGTCATCCCAACCACCCGAGTCCCGGCTACCGAGCACCAGCACTTAAAGCAAAGTTAAAAAAAAAAAAAAAAAAAAAAAAAAAAAAAATAAAACACCGAATCTCAGGAACACATGCGCAAGCACACAGGCGAGAAGCCCTTCCAGTGCGTCCTCTGCGAGAAGGCATTTCGCAGCAAAATCGGCCTCGCCCAGCACACCGCTACCCACACCGGGCAGTTCGACTTTAATTGCTCGACCTGCGGTAAGGGCTTCCAGTGCAAGAGCTACCTTATCGTCCACCAGCGCGTCCACTCGGACCTTAAGCCCTACTCCTGCACGACCTGCGGCCAGAACTTCAAGACAAAGCAGTCGCTGCTCGATCACGAGAACCGCCACATGGGCGTCAAGCCCTACACCTGCGAGATATGCGGCAGGGGCTTCATAACTAAGGGTCTCTGCAAGAGCCACCAGAAGATTCACTCGGGGATGGATAACAGGCAGTACCCCTGCGTCGTCTGCAACAAGATGTTTGTCAGCAAAAGCTACCTCAACACGCATCTTAGAATTCACACCGGGGAGAAGCCCTACTTGTGCGAGGTATGCTTTGATCGGATGCAATAATCCGGTCGAGTCGTCCTTCCTTGTCCGAGGAGCGGCCCTACATATATATATATATATATATATATATATATATATCAGCACCAAACCCTTCCGAGACGATATTGCACAAGCGATCGCGTAGTGCGCGATCTAACAGGGAGCATCATCCGCTCCCCCGCACCGACCAACGACGACGACGACGACGACGACGAAGACGACGACGACGACGACG